AAAATAAATTTAACTATCCTTTTGAAAAAGCTTTGATATTGTTGGTTTCATAAAAAGTATGATTTAAATAAGAGCAGGGTGCCATAAAAAAAGAGTTCCACCAGAGCAGGCAGACTCAGAGGAGGTTCAAGAGGAAGTCTGGAGAGGTTGACAACATTAGTTTACAGCACATTGTTACACCAACCCTAATAATGCCACTGAGCATAAAACAGAAGACTATGCCAAAATTATGCATTCAAGACATGTAACATGCAATTAGCTAGCTGCCAACACACTAGTAAGCGCAACATGGGGGTGAGTTTCTCTATTACACTGGTGTTACATAACGGTACAATTATATGGTTTTAAATTTTACACCATTTAAATTTAAAGATTTGGCTCATAGAATGAACAAGACGTAACAAAGGACTGAAAACAAATTAAATAAGTACACAAAGAAAATAATACCAACAAAGCCAGTGATAATACCTGTAACTATAACCCCATTCCATTTAATTTAAGGCAGTGTCTACACGTCCGGCGCGCCGGACGTCTATCTCCCGCACTATGTGTCCGGCGACCAAGTCACATGACCGCCGTAACAAAGTGGCGAGAGATATTATATCTTGTCGGTCAGCCTTGTCACATGACTGCGAATAATTCAAAACTATTGTTAATTTTAAAATCTATTTCTCTACCAAGTAATGTACTGAGTATCTTGAATGCAAATAATAGAAAACATTTTTGTTTAGTTTGTTATTTGAGTTTGTGTACCAGTAATCCATAAAATAAATTAGGGGCCAGTGTGGAGTAGGCGTTGGCAACCAATAAAAGTTAAAGTAAAAGATTTCATTTTAAATTATTTCAATTGCAACAAAATATTTAAAAACTTCTCATGAAACTACTGTTGCTGAGGAACATGATAATATAAAATATATACAAAATATTTTAATTAAAATGGGAAGAAAAAAAATGACCCTATCCCCGGTATAGATCCTCAAACCTTCCTATAGTCAAGCAGCCACTCTACCACAAGACCAGACAAGATGTAATAAACCGTACTTCGTTTGGAATTATAAAAACTACAAGCCGTCCGGCCATGTCCGGCGGTCACGTGACAAGCCGCCGGACGTATATCTTGCGCACTACACGTCCGGCGCGCCGGACGTGTAGACACTTCGTTAATTTAATTATACTTACACTATTAAGTTTCTATAAAATACAAATACCATATTCAGAAACCAAAAACTATATCAACTTACAGCACAGGAAGAGAAAAGGTACAATTGTCAAACAATACAAGCCTATTAATTTACACACACACATTCAGATATCATTTTTTTGTCTTGTGGTATTTTTATTTTAGTTAACCTGAATTCACTGAAGACTTGAAGAAGTAAGTTTACAAACATATAGTCTATTCAATTATCTTGCATTTGATGCCAAATGAAATTTGTCTTACAAAGCCAACAATAATATTTTGAATATTTTTTAAAAACCCAACCTCTCACTCAAGAATCCCAATCCCAGTGCCAATCGGCTGGCCACGGCAATAAAATTTAGAAAAAAATATTTTAAAATTAGGTTAACTTTGTGTTTGGTCAAAATTTGAATTCCTTCTTCAGAACAATCGAACTTCTTACTGTGAAATATAATTGCTGACTGGCCCAGGTCAAAGGAGGGAGTTTAAAGCACTGTGAAATCGAAAGAACAACAAAAAAAAAACAACAACACCGGTTCGGGTTTGTTTAGTTTGTACATTAACTGAGATCTCAAATGTGAATGTGGTCAGTGGTGTCCTTTTATTTATCTAATGCAAAATATTAATTTTCACACGTATATGAAATTATCAGAGTTACCCATTAATTTCGTATGATGAAATAAGACCAATAAATGTTTGGTTACAACGGGAAAGTAAATTAACCAAATGTCTTTCTATTGTTCATTCCATTTCATTGATTGACACCCATTGAGTTGTCAGCATAAACATGGCGGATCTCGCGTATTTACGCAAGCTGTAACGAGATCAGAAATTGCCCCGAATCGAACTAAGTACGGATTCCAAATTTCTTTTAACGAGAGGCCTATGATTTATCAAGCGGGAGGGATACTGCATGATTTTCAGTTAACACAAAATTTCCCCGGAAACGTTAAAAATACTCATGTTCTCGTTTTAATTCAAAATTTCACAAGCCAGAACCTGGAAAACCTAGTTAACAGTGGTGAATTATTAAGCTCAGTAACTCTAGTACACAGCTTCTCGGGCGTTTTCAAGTAGTGACAGTAATTATATAAATATTTATCCCCCCAAACATTGGCGGTAGCAATGCGTGAACTTCCCATCTACTAAAGTTATTTTACAAAAACGTGAACTCAAGTTACGCACATTTAAGAATGCCAATTTTGCCCCACCCCCCCCCCACACACACACACTTTTTTTTCCATGATACGTCACGGCACACTTTTTATTCCACGCCGACCCGCGGGAAGGGAGGGTTTGCCTGCGTCTTCGTCTACCAATTTTGCCCCCCCCCCCCCCCCCACTCTCACACACTTTTTTTTCCATGATACGTCACGGCACACTTTTTATTCCACGCCGACCCGCGGGAAGGGAGGGTTTGCCTGCGTCTTCGTCTTGCTTGCTCTGGCGTATCTATTTATAGCCTGCGTCTTGTTTGCCCCACTTCTTCTGGCTTATTATATATATAGTTATAATTTCAATATAACTGTTGTTAACAGAATGAAGTTACGAACGAACTTTCTACACAAAACGAGTTAAAGCGAACTAAGACGTGTAGATTGATGCAAAACTTAATTCAGGTATGCGCCTAAATGAATCCTTGTGTTTTTTTAAATATTTTTTTTAGCCCCTACTTTGGTTTATGAACCTTTGTGGCCATTGATTTCCCTCTCCCCTCTACCCACCCGTTGTGTTCGTATCTTTACTATCAGATGGTTACTGGAGAAATGCTAAGAATACAAAATCAACATACATCAACTATATATAGAATAAAAACAGCTTATGATAGCGTAGACATGCCTATGTATGACGCTCTACAGGAACTTGGAGTCCCAAACAAAATTACCTGGCTTAAACATATTATGACGATGGCTGACTCCAAAAGTAGAATCAAATTACAAGGAGGGTACTCGACGGAATTTCTGATGCACCTGATACTGATATTATTCTTTAGAACAAATTAGATTGTTTTTGAACTTAAAAACCGTTTCCCAATCAAGAGACGGGTGGGGTGCGCGATACATTTAATCGGTGACGTCAATATCTAAAAAAAAAACAACAAAAAAACAAAAAAACAAAAAAAAAAGCGGGAGGATAGGTTAGGTTGAATGCCACAGATTGTGGTGAACAAAAACGTTTAACTTTACACAGGCTATAGCAGCTGACCATCGCATACCTGAAATATGCGGACGACACTATTGGGCAGAAACAGCACTGATATAATTAAAGCATTCAAGCAACTTGAACATACCTAATTAAAACTGGTCTTGAGTTTTGAGGTAAATTAAGTCAAGACGAATAACTTACCATTAAAATCATATTTACAACAAAGAAACAAAAAATCGAATGAAAGAATATCAACAGAAGGGTAATAATTAATAAGGTTAACAGAATGGCATAAAATACTAATATTAAAAATATCACAAGAGAACAAAGAAATATATAAATAAGACAGCAATAAAATTAGTAGTAATTTATGTCAGTGTGACTTGGACTCCAACGAAAACAGCAGAAATCTTATTAAATACATGTGAGAGGTAAGTCACGACCAACGAGAACTCTAGTGGGTCATGGGTAAGTAGAATGGCAATGAGAGAGGGAAGCTCTGCATCAGATTAGGTATGAAGAAATAAGCGAAACAAAATAAGGGGAAACCTGAAAAAAGGACGCAACAAAAAAGGACGCAACAAAAACGAACCAGGGACGTCATTTGGGAAGGGTGGCATTGGGGCACCCCCCCCCCTTCCCAAATCCTGAATTTGCAGTTTTTTTTAATAATAATTGCTATTTACTGTGGAACCTCCTGTGATAAACAACTTAACAAGCGTACCAAGTTTTACCCCCCCCCTCCCTTTTAAAAAAACCTGAAATGACGCCCCTACGAAGAACGTGTCGGCAAGAAGCCTTCTTCAGTGAATAAACACAGTACTGGTATAAACAATATATAATTAAAAACAAACACACAGCTGCAATGAATAATCCGAAAGGACACCAAGCAGTAAAAATAGATGGAGAATATTTAAAGGGCTGACTGCGCTAAATGGGACAACAAGAAGAACGCCAAAGGACAGAGGGGTGACGAGGTTGTACCAATTCAAAACAGAGACAGACTGCTGAAAAGCTGATACAGGTGCTGATATAGGCTTACCGGTGGAAGAATAGACGGCGTTGAAACAGGTCTACATAAGGTTGTAATTTCTGAGAAGAAAAAAAAAGAACATCTGAGTGAAAGGAAGTCGTGTAGCAGACCAAATCCCTCCATGGGCTGATGGATGAATACGGGGGCCGTGCGATACCTGCTCTGGGCACCATCTTCAGAGGGAAACCAAAATTGTTATTTAGAGCGCCGAAATTAAAGCCTTGGATGGATAGGTGCATTTTCTGTACAATATTCTATTATTCCGATATAATATATTATATACGTAATTTCAATTACTTTTGAACAACTATCGTATGTTACTGCCAGCTTTGTAATTTTTTTGTAATAATTCTCCAAAATTTAGCAGAATTCTTCGACCCCACAGCCACAGTGACAGTGTCAATGTCATTTTAAAAAGTAGGCCACATAATTATTACTGACTTGACACAATTACTTTATTTGTGTATGCAAAATATTATAATAAACTGGATTAGTTTATTATAATTCTTACCATATTAGCCTACATTTTTAAACCGTATTTAATTACCGTCCTTTCGAGCAAATGATTTGCCCGTTTTATAGAATTGAACGGTTCGAGAAAGAATGATGACGACATTAGTATTCGCACAACATCCGGGTAAGCACACGGCATTTAATGTAAGTACGTTCGAGACGGTTGGTAAGTTTCTCCATATGTCTGGTATCTCTCACTGTAATATTCACCCAGTCTGACTGACATTGTTCTAAGCTTAATTGTATATTTATCTGTTTCCTATCGTTTTATCCAGATATCTTTCAACTTACACAAGCGAATAAACGCCTATTTATAGGGCCTGTTACCTTGGCCAGCTGCCATCACTTTGCTTGCTGTTATAACGCAGATCCAGACAGCATTTTTATGACTTTATCGAGTCAAAACGGTATGTATTCAGAATTATGGTTGAATTTTTGTTTTCTGGTAAATGAATAATATACCCTAAGAGCTTTGATACACAGAAGTATGTTATTTACAAAAGGACTTAGAAGATATCTGCCAGTGACCAGCATGACGGCAGCATGTCTCAGACAAACACAAATTACACCTAGAATTTGAAGTATGCCATACTAAGTATGGCCATCATGAGAGGCAGTGAAAACTATTTTTGGCTGAATGTGTGTTCCACTTGGCTAGGCATAACACGATTAAACAGTTTTATTTTATGCATCTTATTTTTGTTTAAAAAATAGGCATCTTGTATATAGTATATGCTACAGACCTGTTTACTCTTACGATTTTGGCGTACAATGTATGATTTTGAGGTGTATAGATTGTATATGTATGCTTATTTTTTACTATAAATATAATTTATTGAATGATTTTCTGATGATATTGTACGATTTTAAGAGTTTGCGGGTAAACAGATCTGATGCTATCATTATTTTCCTGCCTTAATTTTAATTTGAAAAAAACAAACTAATTTAAATTTAATAAAGTGACTGGGTTGGGTGAGTTGAGCCCATTGAATAATTGCATATTCCCATGGCTTCAACACTTCCTGTTTCCACCTTTTTACAGACAACACACTGTTGTCAACAGCACTTGCGACTGCAGGCCGTTGACATTGACTCTTCTTGCAGCATTGCAGCGTATCTAGAGAGATACAATAATTTTGCTATGTTAGCCTTGAAATTTATCCATGAGGAAAGAAGCCTATATAGGAAATTATGCTTTGTGCTCTACCCATCATGTAATATGCTTATGACGCGTCCCGCATTACCCATCACAGGCAAAAAAACGTGTGGCTAGTCCCAATTTTGAAAAAGATATTACGTTTTTTAAAGTTTAGAAGCCATGAGGCCTTTAGTGTTTTAAGGATGTTTGGCCTGTTTTGTTCCAAACATCTTCAATCTGTATAATTGCACACCAGAAATGTAGCAAGTTGGCTTCAACATAACATAAATTTGTTACTTTACCCACTACTGTCTGCTTACTACTGTCTTAATACACTCATCATACTATTTAACCTCCTTTGACAATTGCCCACATTAAACCTTTACAACAATGTACCACCTTCTGCTATATTATACTTCTGCTGGGTGCCTATTGTAGCTATCGCTCTAGCTCAATAATTTGTAAAATTTAAAAAAAAAAGATCCATTCAGCAGTTGCCAGCTGCAAAAATCCCACTTAAAATGTATGAAACATCAATTAGGTATCAGTCTTAAAAAATTCTTTTAGCTAAATCTATTTCAAGGTGCACTAATTTAATGTGACCAATATTCATAGCTGATTCTGAAATATTAGTAATGAGTGCAAAATCAAAACTTATAAATGTAATTTATCTAATTCTAATCAAAAGCATTGTAGTCTTAATGTCACCTCTTATCTGGAACATTTTTAACTGTAGGCACATTTAACATTTTGTTAAAAAATATTTGTAATTTCTCCTGAAATAGTATTAGTTATAATCTTCAGTTGGCTGATTGAAAATTTTGATTTGAACATTTTGAAAGAATTTCTTTTTTTTCTAATTGTTTTTGGATGCATAATAACTGTTCTATATTAAATTAAAAAAAAAAAAAAAAAAGTAGGCCTAGGCTATAGTATATATTTACTCAATTTAAAGGTACGATGTATGAATTGTTTTATATGACACTTTATTTAAGGATCAGTCGGGTAAACATTTTCACCTGGTACCAACTATTTTTGGATTCCTTTTGCTGAACCTGAGTACTGTTTGTACATTATTCATGTTGACACTGTATATTACAGCGTATAATGCCATGTCTGAGTTTAATGTGACCATTACTAACTGGTTAATTATAATTACGTCCATTAAAAAAATTGTTTATCAACATTTGAGAACTATCAAGCTTTAAACAAGCTATTAAGTTTAAAATTTGTGATTTTGTAATGATTGTTATGATTTTGGAATGATGTAAACATGTCAGAATGCATGCAGATCTAATGTTATATTGAGTAGATATGAAGTTAGTGTTGATAAGCAGCTGATGTATTTTTTTTTCTTTCTGGGTTATGGTTGGGATATAGTATTCCATTCCACAAGTTTGAAATTGACACAATTTAAACTGCATAACCATCCAGCCTCTCAATTTAATATGCAAATGAAATGAATATCTTTAAATATTTTATTTTCAAATAACTTTTTTGCATATATGGAGGTGTATACTTGAAAAAAATAATGTGATATTCAGTTAAGGCAAAATATCAGGCGATTTCCCGTTGTTCCTTACTTTAAACTGCTTTGAACTCATGGCAAAATTTTATTTTTATTCTTTCTGTGACAGCAGAGGTACAATCACAGAATGAATTTAGAAATGCATAAATTTCCAACAGTTGCATTTGAAACATTATACGTAATCTGAAACACATAGCTTAAGCCTAATCAGATGTTAAAAAAAAAAGATTGTAACGTATTCTCAGGACTTAGACTTAGATCACTTTTACTACTAATTATAAAATTATTTTAGGGCTTAACTGGCTAATATGATGTAATTGCGAGGGTTGCACCAATAGGTAGGCCTATCAGCCTACTGAAAATATTAGATACAAATAATGCGAAATATTTAAAAAATATTTAAAAAAAAGCTCTAAAATGCCATGACCACTTTTAAAATGACAGTTAATCTTGTTTCCTATTGAAAAAATCTTTCTGACTAGTACCAGTGGTTGAATAATTAAATCTTTTGTTGGCTGAAAGATATAGAATAATTTGTTTCACAAAATTATGGCAACCTCTGTAAAAGGCAAATATTGAGATCTAATTTACAATGTAAAGAGCTGAACTCTCTTCATGATAGTGAATGGAACTCATGTGTTGAAAGTCTTATTTAATTATGTAAACAATTATTGTCACATAATAAAGTTGTATAGTTATTACAGCTCACTCTGCTGAAGATGGAATTATGTTCAGAATTAATTTATAATGTATTTAAGGAATTTAGTATGATATTATTAAATGAAATAAAATTGTATTCAAACGTTATTTGTTTTATAGTTATTCAAAATTTAAAATTTCAACATCCATATTTCCAAACAAAGCAGGCAAATTGTTTCTACAGTTAATTCATGATAAAAAGGTTGAATCAGCTGAGCTTAGACTTCTACACATATTGACATTGTTATTCATATGGAATGTAACTAAATTGAGTAATTAATATTTTTTATTATCGACAAAATTGGGAAGTGCTGCTAGTTCTACATTACATTAAGTTAAAAATGGAAACATCCACTACCACCACACACACAATAGTAATATATTTTTCAGAATAAAAATAAATTTTGTGATTTGGGTGTAAATAATTTTTAAAACCTAAAGTAAGTGAACAAATAATTCATGTTACTATCTTCATTCTGTTTTATTTTAGAAATGAGGAATTTCCCAAAGCCTTATAAATTATGCATTTTCTGTAAGTTCTCTGGATATTTCTTGTGTTAAAATTGGTTTTGTTTGGTGATGGTCTTTATGGATGGTTTTGAGTTATTCCAATGAATATAAACATTTTAAAAGGTCAGAATATATATCTTTTTAGCTCAATGGCAATTCTAATTGTTTAAAATTTTAAATTTTAAATTATTTTGGAGAAAACAACATTACTCTTTAATTCTATTACAACAAAACAAATCCATAAATTTTATTTCCGAACATTAACATTTTTGTTATCATTTTGAAGGAAAGCTATACCTTCCCCCATTTTATTTTACAGTATATTTTGAATTGTAGATAAAATCTGTTATGGATATAGTTGATTTGTAAGATAAAAGTGGATAAATAAAGGTGTTAACAGAAATTATGCAAACATTAATATTTGATATATCAACTGTGTGTGTACATCAGTAACATGCCCATGCCACTGCTAAGTTTCTGGTGTGCTCTTTAAGTTTAAGGGATACAGATAATACAACACCTGACCACCTGTTCTAAAGTTAAGTCCGAAGTTATGCACATTTTAATTGTGATGCTGACGTTTATGAAATGAAGCAGTAATATCCTGTGATATTTTTTAATTTTCAAAATTCATGAAAATAGGGAGTTGATAGTTTTAGCATGGTTTCTCTTCAGATATAACAGGTGGTCTGATCCTAGTATTACTCTTTACCAGTTTGAAAATTAACGTTGTCATTGCATGGAATTCTTTTCCTGTTTCTCCAACGAAAGAATTGTCAGAAATATCGAAGGTAATCATCTTTAAAAAAGAAATCTTGTGTTAGCATATAAACTTGTAACAAATTTAATATATATTTTTTTTCATAATCTGTTTTCTCTCGTGATTACGGCTCTCTGGTTTATGATATAATTTGCTTTAGCTTGCATCAAGTCAAAACCTGGATTTATTAAAAGAGCAAAAGGTTTTTGAGTGATAGGATGTGTCTGATATTGTTATTTGTTTTCTGATTGTAGAAATTACCCAAATAAAGCAAAAATATTAATATAATATATATTTTTGTGAACCTGCATCGTCATATATATATTTTTTTTTTACAAACATTCAAATTAATTTTCCTAAGGACTACAAGGAAATATTTTTTTGATGGACAGGGTGCCAACGAAAAAGTTATGCGTCAAAAGACATTGGAAATTAAAACTTAAAAATAAAGCCACAAATTAAATATATTTTTGATTTTATTTTAATTTTTCTCCACACATTTATTTACTTAAGATGGGGGCATTACATATACAGACCTGTTTACTCTTACGATTTTGGCGTACAATGTACGATTTTGAGGTGTAAACATTATTTATACTGTATGTTTATTTTTTACTATAAATATAAGGGATTGAACGATTTTGTGATGATATTGTACGATTTTAAGAGTTTGAGGGTAAACAGGTCTGCATATGATAAAATATTTAAGCTTAATTCTTCTTTCTTCCCTTTTTAGAGCCCTTGGTGTGGCACTCTGAAACCATTGAGTCAAGATTGTTGGCACATAGAAGCGACACCACTTCCAACGCGTATATGAAGTTCACAGTCCCCCAGAAACATCTGAGTAAAGTTGACAGCAGTATTCATAGGAAGCGAAGACCAATTTATATAAACAGTCAGCAATCATGTCTTTTAACATTGACAGAAGTAACACTGATCCATTCTACCGCTATAAGATGCCTCGGCTCATAGCTAAAGTTAGTCTTAGTACTTACCACTACTTTGTACATTTTTTAGATTTTTTTTTTCTGTATGGTACATTGTTGGCAAATTTATTAATGCATTAGATTTAAATTGTCAAATTGAAATTCATTTCTGGGAGTTTGAGAATTAGTGATTACATATATGATTAAATATTTTTTTTTTGAATAACTTACATTTACCAGGTAGAGGGAAAGGGAAATGGCATCAAAACCGTGATTGTCAACATGACAGAAGTGGCTAAAGCATTGTCCAGGCCTCCAACCTGTAAGTTTTCTTCTGCAAAAATAATGTTACATTAACTTTTTTAACAAGTTTTTATTCATTTAACACTGGAATTTACAAAGTAAAGAATTATTAACTCACTCTAAGCACATGACTTTCTTATCTAATCTGAATTCCTGAACAATGGGAAGTAATTTTAGATTCAACCATATTTGTAAGAATTTTTTTAAAGCTCCTACTTGTTAATACATTTTAATAAACTAACAGAGGTATCTAGAATTCAATGTAGTTAAAGAAATATTTAACATTAATGGTAAAAAAACAATTGACAAACAATTTTTAGCAAGACAAACTGTGCTAAAACATATGGATATAAAAAAATACAAACTTGATTGAAATCAGCTATCAATGAAGTTTCAGACACACATGATATCATTAACTCTTTCTCTCCGGATCAACACTCCCATCGTTGATTTTAAATGAGGTTTCAGGCGAAAGGACGATGAGATCATTGATGTATAAAAACCTGTTTAATTTGGTTCTTTTCTTAGCTATTGGTTTTTAATTACTTTTAATCAAATCTAGCAAGATTTCCCTTTGATAAATATCCGGTTTTTCTTTATTTTAACGAGTTTTTACCTAGAACGAAGTGTTTGAAGAGGTTAATTTTGATTGTCCATTTTATTTTTGTTTACAAACATGAAATCTTAACCTGACCCATCTGGTGGTCGATCTAATAAAGGTTGAAAATATTACTCTGACGATTCAGACAGTGATTTTATGATTTTGGATGCAGAGGCTGTTTCTGATTTTAATCCTAGTTCTACTATTATTAGTGATGAAATTTTTAAGTCATCAGCTGATGAACAACCCGCTAAAGTGCCTTCTAGAAGAGCTAATACTGTTCCTACTATAAATAATGTAGATTCTAAAAAGAAAGCTGCTGATCTTAGCACTAAAACTGAGTGCAGTTTCAGATTTGAAAAATGTAGGTGTAAATTAGGAGCTTGTATTGTGACAAGTAACCTTCACTATTTTTTTTACTTTGCTAGACACACATATTATTCACAAGCTTTTACAATCAATAAATGAGTATGCTTCCTACAGAATTAAAATCAACACTCCAAGACTTATCGAAGCAAAACATGTGCCTATTAAGTATTAGCTCCAAAAAGGGCAGTATGCAAACACTATAGAACAGGGCGAACTGTACCGGTATACGTTTGTGCTGGATGTTAGTCAAATCCACACATCCATATGGATTCAGGCTTACCATAGCTAACGCCAGATGAAATTTTCCATTTAACATAATAAATATTTGTACATACAAGGATATTTTCTCATAGCAACAGATTGTTTCCAGTGGAAATAATTTGTTTTTTTTTCTGAATTTTTAAAAAATTTTTGGCGGTGACAATGGATAATGTGCTCTGGTGTTTCTTTTTTCTCTTTTTTTAATGTGATCTTTATTAATGCACATATGGATATCGTTAAGAAAAAAAACAATTTTGTTACTCTTTGGATTATATATTTCTCTTTGTATGACTTGGAATGTGAGTTTTGTGAACATTTGGTGAGTTTTTTATTTAAAGTTTTTATTTTCCTTAAATCATCACATTTATATATTAAAATTTAAACCCAAGGCTGTATTGTCTGTAAAAAGCATGCATTCGCCTTTAATTCCAAACCAACCATAACATTTTATGATGAAAAACAAAAAAGTTATTATGGTTCAGAGATAACATAGAAGTGCGTAACAAATATGCAAAATCGATAATTCCGTCAGAAACTACCGGTATTTCCGTAGAGAAAGAGTTAAGTGAAATAATGCAAGAGGTGTACCATGTGAAATAATGTAATAGGTGTGTCAGCACACATTTGGTCTCATCTGACAGGACAACCCAAATACACATTAAGTGGCATAAAGGGAATTTATTATTGTTATAATAATATAGTAGTAATTAGGCTTTTACTATTTAGTTAACACATTAAAAAAAATATTTAACCTTTTTTTAAAAAAAAATCACATAAAGCTTATGCTGTGTTGCACAATATCCTAAAGCTTCTAAATTTATAGATTCGGTTTGAGTTTGAAAGAGTGTTAACATTTTAAATTTGTATTTTTGTTAAGCACACCACTTGGAACTGTTAGGGGCTTATAACTCCAGTTATAAAGTTATAGCGCTGCTTTTATATGAAATAATAATCCTTTGGTATGTCCATTTCATTTGATAAGATCCTACCAAATTTTTTGGCTGTGAACTGGGTGCTCAGACCCAGTTTGACTCAAAAAATGACCGCTACATTGTAAATGGCTCACATACTGACGAAAAACTGCAAACTTTGCTGGATGGGTTTATCAAGAAATTTGTCCTATGTCCAGAGTGCTCGAATCCAGAGACCAACCTTGTGAGTTTTAAAAATAAATTTCAATATTAAATTTAAGAGCAGTATTTAAATTTTGGAATGTGAATTTTCTTACCATACCTTATTTAGTTGTTATATATAATTTATAATCCTCATGACTTTATAAATGAAGAAGCTACGTATAATTGTTAATTTTCTCCCAAAAAGGTTGTGCAAGTGAAGCGTGGTACTATCATGCAGCGCTGTATAGCCTGTGGATATAACGGCTCAGTGGACATGAGGCATAAACTGACCACCTTTATTCTAAAAAATCCGCCTGACCAGGTAAAGTTCCAAAAAGTGCTGGATAAAATCTTAAGCTATTAAAATAAAATTATAAACAATTCCTTTTTTTAAATTGAAGTTTCCATATATTTGCACTACCCGGTACTTTGCATACTATTTTAACAGGTTCATTCATTGTGTTTTTTTAGAAATTTACAGTATATACACTTAATTTGGTTCTTTTGACATAAGTCTAATGTAATTACAAGGACCCCAATGCTGCTACACCAAGCAAAGGAAAAAGAGGTAAAAAGGAAAAAGGTTGTAAAAAGGATGAAGATGAAAAGGATGGCACAAGTCCAGAGGCCACCCCTACAACAGCACAAGAGCAAATGGCAGCAATGAGAGAATCTGGAAACATGATGAATTTACTACCACCAACAGTAGGTGTTTTTAAAAGAGAATTATCTGCTGTATTTAAAAACTAAATGTTAAAACTTATCTGTAACATTTTGGCATTTGCATAATATTGAACTTATCTGTATGAATTTACCGGCATGCTTCCTCTGAAGTCACACATCTGAATGAGAACTAATAAGTCCCCGATTTTGCTACAAGAACTCACTGAATGGCTGTTTGAAATAATTTATTATAAATGTCTTGTGTTCAAATTGTTATATTTTTGAGCTGAAAATGTATAATGCAATAAAAAAAATTTCCATTTATTTGGATCAATAAAAGAATCTTATCTTATTAAAATACCTGAAGAGATGATGAGAAAATGTATGGATTCCCCTACATAAACTTCTATTGATTGATAACACATACTCTGATCTTCATTTTTTAAATTTTCTTAGTCCAGAATGACAAATTTTAATCATTTAATAATCATAAAATTTCAAATAATCAAGCAAAACTTAGTGTAGGTTACTGTTAATACTTAGAAATCACATGCTTTCAGAAACAGAAAGGCGAAGAAGATGATGATGACTGGGGTGATGACTTTACTGAAGAAGCTATTAAGCAAAGGATGGAGGAGCTGTCAGATGCTGCTAAAGGTCTAGCTTTTACGGATGACTTGGAAAAATCAGCTGAGGATCGTTTGAATATGATATATGAACTGATCAAAGTAAGTTGCTTTAGCTAACCCTTTTTTCCTTTTGACATTATGTTTTAATGTTTAAGAAATAACAAGAATATGAGATCTATGAAGTTATGATAAAACATTACAATTATATTTTTAAAGATAAAGAAAGATGATGATGAGTTGACCAAACAAGCTGCTATCAAAGAAATTTTCTCTGAAGCGGAGAGACTAGAAGTGAAAGAAAAAGTACCTTTGGTACTTGTGGAGCTTCTTTTAAATGAAAAAGTTCTGGTGCAATTGCAGAAATACAAAGGTCTCTTTCTAAAGGTAAGTCCTGCAGTCTCTTATCACTGTGCTTCTAGTAATATTTGAGTTTGTTAAAGTTATGGAATGATTCTCCTAACCAATTTTGGGATTGAGATTATTCTTACTTACTATTAACATTTTATTCACACTGTCCATCTTTAGCTTTGGTGCTCATTCCCAATATTTAAAGTAATTTTTTTTTTTTTCATTTCTGGTTTTAGTTTTGTGTTCAGAATCAAAAAGCTCAGAAAGCTTTACTGGGTGGCCTTGAGATCCTTTTGGCTAAAGAGTATCCTGAGCTTGTTCCAAAAACAAGCCATATTCTCAAAGTACTGTATGATCTTGACATTCTTGAAGAGGCTGTTATTTTGGAATGGGGCAAAAAGGTAATAATGAGTGAATGAGTTCTATTTGTTGTGTCTTACAGGTCTCATAACATCTGTGGTGTTAACACCGCAGTGAATGTTGTATATTTAAAATATTTCAAAGGGAACACAACTTAAAAAAAAAATTAAATATTTAAAAAAAACTTAACCCTTTACAGTCCAAGCCTATTCATCCTTGTCTACTCCCAGCGCCCAAGCAAGGGGACATACTCAATTTTAAATGAAGGTTCTTTATCTAATTAATTTACAGAAAATAAAACTAGAAGCCAGAAAATAAAATTAAAAATAACTTTGGACAAATAAATGCTTTAAGCAAAAGTTGCACCTAAAAACAGTTTCGGGGACTCTCCCACTTTGATTTGTGAACTATTCTCAAACCACTCTGATCTTGCTGATCAGTTGGAGTGGAATTAATAGGTCAAATGTCATCAATGTCTCTACTATTACTATAATCTTCTTCACTTGAATCACTATTACTAGAAGCGTCTTTAAAATTAATGTCTATATCAGATTCTTCACTATTGCTGCTAGACTTATGAAATTGTGAAGCTTCATTAGGCCTAAGTTCTTTCAAAATTTTATCCAAGGCTTGGAAAGCGATTTTTTACAGCGAAAAAATCACAACTTTTTTCGCAACTTAAAAAAAAAACAATAGCAGAAAATGAGCCCCGAAACACACCGCTTTCAAACCAGTATTAAAATAAATGGTAATGCCCAATGGATTTCCGCTGTGTTAAGAATGAAAGTAAACAACCTCAAAATGGGCGGGTTTGGCCGCAACGGACTGTAAGCTTAAGGAAAAAAAATGGTGCATTTCAGGCTTATCGGACTGTAAGGAGTTAAATTATTTATTATAAACAAAATCCTTGAAGAAAAAACTTGACATTTTGCTGGTTAAAAAAAAATTATAGTAATTATAATTCCCTCTTCCCAAAAGTTTCCATATGCACCTAAAAACTCCCTAATGTTTTAGTGGTCGCTCTAGGTCATAATTATTTGTACCAGCTGGTACTTTATAAAAATGAAGGCATGATGAAACTTTTAATGGATTCCCCTTCATATTTTTTATGACTGAAATTCCATTTCTGACCTTTTTTATTTAATAAAGATTCTTTAAGTGGATACATTTAATATTCAAAAATTCTTGGTTTTCGCTGTATGTAATCTATGCAATTAGTTTAAGTAATCTTATATAGAGGAAGTTGTTTGCCACATGAGCCTTAGATACTACAATTCAGAACAAAAATCACATAAACCAAAGAAGTAGTAGAAATATCTGAGTTGGATTAATATTCAATATATGACTATTGTTTTGAGGATTACCATTTAAGTTTGTAAATCATTCATGTTTGTGATAGTAATATACACTGCATTGGTATATTTTAAATTTACTAACTTGCTTAAATTTTGAGAATTTGTATACTGGTATTTCCTATTCTTCACCTGAAGCTCACTTATGTCAATATAGTTTTATTGTGTCCTATTTTGGCTTACAATTATATGTAAAGAACATTGAAATTGAGGCGTGATGAAACTATAATGGATTCCCCTTCATATGTCTTATGACTGAAATTCCATTTCTGACCTTTATAATTCTTTAAAGATGCATTTAAGTGAATAAGTTTAAAATTGAAAAGTTGTTTCCACTATTTTCTGCTATGTAATTTATGTATTTTATATGGAGGAAGTTGTTCGCCATATGAGCCTTAAATTCTAACAATATAAAAAAAAATTCTTATAAACTGATGAAATGGCAAAAATTATCTTAGTGGGATTATATTCAAAATTGACTGGTATAAAAAAAAGAGTTGTGAAGATTACCCTTTACTTTAAGTTTATTATTCATTCATATTTGTGAAGGTAAAATAGACTTTATAGTTTCATTTCAATTGACTACAAACATTTCTCATAATTATATATATTAAATTAACACATTGGGCATTCGTTTATTGGTCCTCCATCTGAAGCTCACTAATGTAAATAAATATTTTTATTGTGTCTTTCAATATAATATCAGTAAAGAACATTAAAATGAAGGTGTGATGAAACTATAATGGATTCCCCTACATATATTTTTTGATTGAAATTACATTTCTGACCTTCAACATTTGTTTAAAAAAATAATTAAACACCTTCAACATTTATTAAAAAATAATTAAACTAAATACATTTTTAGCTTAATGTTAAATTTTAGTATTGTAAATATGTTGGCTATGACCATTAATGCTTATATGTGGTTAGTTTCACTGATGTCCAAAAGTAAGTAGTTTTCTAATGTATTTTAACCTGAAGTCATCATGAGTATATGGTTGGAAATGATTACTTCACTAAGAATAGTGTTTAAATTATTGAATTAAAATAAGTAGTATATTTTTCAGCTTCTTTGATATTAGTTAACCTTTTCTTTGAATCATATGAGTGATCTTTAATTTATTTATAATTCGAAGTGTTTCTCAATTATATTAAGTGTTCTTATTATATGTACCACACAATCCTCCAAGATCCTTTATCTACACCAATGCGCTTGCACAATTATTTTTTTTGTCACTTCCTTGGCCTCCCATTTTTCAGTGTTAACAGTTTTAGTGAAATTTAATGCAAGAATGTGGCATGTTGAATTTGTATGTTTAACATGTTAACTGGTGAGATAGACTTGAGTGTCTAGAGTTGGTAGCAAAGACTTGCAATGATGATAAAAATAATGGTTCTTCCTTTAATTTATACACTGACACTCCACACGCGTCTTAAGCGCGATAGTTCGAAATGAAGGTGTGATGAAACTGTAATGGATTCCCCTTCATATTTTTTTATGACTGAAATTCCATTTCTGACCTTTTTTATTTAATAAATATTTAAATTTTGGGCATTTGTATACTGGTATTTCCAATTATTCATCTGAAGCTCACTTATGTAAATATAGTTTTATTGTGTCCTATCTTGGCGTACAATTATCTATAAAGAATATTGAAATTGAGGCGTGATGAAACTATAATGGATTCCCCTTCATATGTTTTATGACTGAAATTCCATTTCTGACCTTTATAATTGTTTAAAGATCCTATTAAGTTAATAAGTTTAAAATTGAAAAGTTGTTTCCACTATTATCTGCTATGTAATTTATGTAATTAGTCTCTGTAATCTTTTATGGATGAAGTTGCCATATGAGCCTGATATTCTGAACAATTAAAAAAATAAATTCCACATATTCCGATAATTAGTAGAAAATATCATGGTGGGTTAAAGTTTTAAAATATGACTTTTATAGTTGTGAGGATTACCACATTATAAATCATTTATGTTTGTGGAATTTTGGGCAACTTTAAACTAGTATTTTAAATTCATTATCTGAAGCTCACTTATGTAAATATATAGTTTTATTGTGTCTTATTTTAGTGTACAAATATCTATAAAGAACACTGAAATGAAGGTGTGATGAAACTATAATGGATTCCCCTACATATGTATTTTTGATTGAAATTCCATTTCTGACCTTCAATCTATTTTCAAATTAAGCTGTTTTTGAGTGGACAATTTTAATATTGAAAGCAGCTTCAGTCAGCCATTATGAGCTTTTTTATCACTTGACTTCAAACTTTTGGATATTGTAGGTTGCTCACATTTTGGTACTGTTATTTTAGGCCTTATTTAAGGGGATACAAAAATCTATAAGCAGTTTAGTTGGTATTGCATTACAGTAGTGACTATAGTTTGAACTATCCCTTAAATAAGCTGGTGTGATTTTGAACATGATCTCTATTTCTGATGCTAACTACAATGGTTTATGCTTTGCTTTTTGTCTCCAGCCAACTAAGAAGTATGTAAGCAAAGAAGAAAGCACTCAGATTCTTAAGGAAGCTCAAGCATTTGTCAAATGGCTTGAAGAGGCAGAAGAAGAGACGGATGAGGATGATGAAAATGATGAAAATGAAGAAGATGTAGAGGTGACTTTTTGTTTTTGGGATCAATTTATTTTCCTGAATGACCAGTACTGAAAAAGGGTGTTCTTTGTTGATATGTGCTCCTTGCCACCACTTTAAAAGGCTTTATGATGCATTGAGCAATAGCCAAAAAAAAGAGAAATCACTTTTTTATCAGAGGGAAGAGAAATAAAGACCCTAAGCAAGTTTGTAAAAATTAGTGCCAGATGTCCTTTTATGCCTTTTACACAATTAATTAGACCATTAGAAAAGTATAAAAATTATGGATGAAATATTGCTCACTATTTGCCCTACTTTGCGTTCCTCAGATCATCTACTCTAACACCCAGAAAGTTGGTGAAATCACAGTGGAGCCTGTAAAGTCAACTACTGCCAACTCAACACCTGCTATCAATGGAGGCAAAAAGCCAGTTGCTGCAGATGATGATGATGAGGATGACATTGACATTGATGATATTTGAACCAGCTTATTGAAGACATCTTCTGAAAGGCTTAGCATTTACTTTCCTGGTGGTTACGTCATGTTAAAATGGTGAACAGGTTGTGATTGTGGCCATTGTTATTTTTTTTAGGTCATTTATCATAAAATGCTGAACTTATTAGGCAATATTAGGTCATAGCTTATTATTACGACAAGATGTATTAAACTATAGATATATTAAAGATATTTGGATCACTTTTCCCTTTTTAAACTCTGTAGATATTTCACAAGATAAAAAGTTTTATCTAAAACATTTGACTATTTGTTAAAGATATAGTTTAGATTTTTAAAAAAGTATAAGTTGAATATAATCAGTGTCTTAAGATAACTTTACAAAAATTGTGTTGTTTTTCAGCACCAATGAAATCCATCATAATCTGCAGTAGTTTGTCAGTGTTTTAATATTTTATTTTGATTAAATTCTCTTCAATTTTGTCACATTGTTTCATTATCATGCACAACTGTTCTCTTTCCCCCAAGTCTGATTGTGAGCAGTTGTTCATCCTTGGTGTGATATAATTTATCATAGGTTGTCAAGTACAAGTTATTTAGTGGAACAGAGAGATTTATCATTACAAAAATTATATGTACATGTATAGCCGGATGTCATGTTTAATGATTTTATTCTGTGGAAAGATAATAAAGTCTACTGTAATGATGCTCTGATAGTTGAGTTGTAAAATTGGCCTGTCCAAAACATGTTTGACCAAATCAAGTTGAAAGTGAACAACTCAGCAGGACCTATTTTTTATGATCTTCTTTCATGAAACTAAAGTCATCATATACCTGTGCACAAGTTGAATTCTTTGTACTTATCTGTGCTTGAGTTTCTATCAGCTGTTACCATAATGTCAGTGTGGCCAGAATTAAGGCTCAAGTTTCTCTCCTTTGATAGGTCTATATATTTGCTCCACTATTCCATTCTAATGCTGGAAGTTATCTTTAGTATTGTGTAAGTAACCATTTGATCTGTGTCAGTGTATACAAACAACAGTTTCATTTAAGCTGGAACAATAAAACAATGTTGAAATCATTTGAGCTTTCGAGTTTATAAAAACCTGTTATTAGTAACTGTATAGTGATTTGTATGGTGTTGGTATTGTGATTTGTTGTTTACAAACTTTGATGTTGTCATCTGTCTGTGCTAACCCCACATTTTGGCCAGGTTACAAGAAAAATTATTGCACAAGAATAGGAGTGATCAATTACGGTCTGAAATGTCTAACCCACAATAAAATAGCAAACTGAAAAGAACTGGGGATTGAGGGCCTGTTTTTTTTAAAAAAATGAAAATAAAATCTAGCATTGGGGACTCATAAATTAATGTTGAACTGGCCAGGATTTGAAACATTTGTATTAGAATTAGAATGATGATTACATCAATAAGTATTTGACTAAATAGGTAAATGTATGTCACATACAAAGATGACCAAGACTAAATTCAACCGTGAGTACGCAGGGAGCCTACCAGTCCAGCAGGGGGCCTACCAGTCCTGCAGGGTGCCCGGAAAGCTTTCCCTTTCCTGTACTTGGGGGAAACAATGCGTTGTGTCCTAGTTGGATTTGAGTCTTATTCTGCAGTTTCCATGAAGAGTCTTTTTTGCCCACCAGCTGAGCACCTCCCTCTGGAGAGTTGACCGAACATTATAGTTGTTTGATAAGTCTGCTGTCTGGCATCCTTGTGACCATGCCCTGCCCATATGGTTTGTCTATTTTGTAGGATGGTGTGGATGCTAATGTTTTTATGTAAAGAGCGGTGAGCCCAGCCCTGGGCTGGGGTACTGCGCTATATAAGACCACTAATAGTAGTAATAATAAAATCAACCCGTTGTAAGACCTCTTCATCGGGGACTTGGACTAGCCACCTTATGTCAAGACGTTTATGTAGACAGCGTAGGTGGAGATGATTTAGCTGTCTTAGAATGTCTGCTCTACTTCCTAGCATTCGTATAAGAGAGATGTTCATATGATTGCCCTATATACTTCAACTTAGTGACAAGATAGAGACTCTTTCCCTCCCACTTTTGCGGAGCCTACCAACTGTAACATTTGTTTTGGAAATTGGGCTTTTGATCTCATTATCTATTGTGTCTGTCCTAGATAGGGTGCTGCCTAATGATGTGTGTGTTCTCACCGTCCTGGAGAGGGTGCTGCCTAATGACGTGTATGTTCTCACCGTCCTGGAGAGGGTGCTGCCTAATGACGTGTATGTTCTCACCGTCCTGGAGAGGGTGCTGCCTAATGACATGTATGTTCTCACCATCCTGGATAGGGTGCTGCCTAATGACGTGTATGTTCTCACCGTCCTGGATAGGGTGCTGCCTAATGACATGTATGTTCTCACCGTCCTGGAGAGGGTGCTGCCTGACATGTATGTTCTCACCGTCCTGGATTGGATGCTGCCTAATGACGTGTATGTTCCCACCGTGGACCTATCCCACGACGGAAATGACATGTATGTTCTCACCGTCCTGGAGAGGGTGCTGCCTGACGTGTATGTTCTCACCGTCCTGGATTGGATGCTGCCTAATGACGTGTATGTTCCCACCGTCCTGGATAGAGTGCTGCCTAATGACGTGTATGTTCTCACCGTCCTGGATAGAGTGCTGCCTAATGACGTGTATGTTCCCACCGTCCTGGAGAGGGTGCTGGCTAATGACATGTATGTTCTCACCGTCCTGGATAGAGTGCTGCCTAATGACATGTATGTTCTCACCATCCTGGATAGAGTGCTTCCTAGTGACATGTATGTTCCCACCGTCCTGGATAGGGTGATGCCTAATGATGTGTATGTTCTGACCGTCCTGGATTGGGTGCTGCCTAATGACATGTATGTTCTCACCGTCCTGGATAGGGTGCTGCCTAATGACATGTATGTTCTCACTGTCCTGGATAGGGTGCTGCCTAATGACATGTATGTTCTCACCGTCCTGGATAGGTTGCTGCCTAATGACATGTATGTTCTCACCGTCCTGGATAGGGTGCTGCCTAATGACATGTATGTTCTCACCGTCCTGGATAGGGTGCTGCCTAATGACATGTATGTTCTCACCGTCCTGGATTGGGTGCTGCCTGACATGTATGTTCTCACCATCCTGGATTGGGTGCTGCCTAATGACATGTATGTTCTCACCGTCCTGGATTGGGTGCTGCCTAATGACATGTATGTTCTCACCATCCTGGATAGGGTGCTGCCTAATGACATGTATGTTCTCACCGTCCTGGATAGGGTGCTGCCTAATGACATGTATGTTCTCACCATCCTGGATAGGGTGCTGCCTAATGACATGTATGTTCTCACCGTCCTGGATAGGGTGCTGCCTGACATGTATGTTCTCACCGTCCTGGATTGGGTGCTGCCTAATGACGTGTATGTTCCCACCGTTTGGAGATTCTCTCCCTTCACTAATGTTTTAGTTTCTTTGTCCTGGTGCTGGCTGATCTGTTTTTTTTCTTCGAATTGTTGGCGAGGCCGGTGTTGGCGAGGCCGGTGTTGTCGAGGCCGGTGTTGGCGAGGCCGGTGTTGTCGCAGTCGCAGGTCCGAACAAAGCCATAAAGTGCTGCATGTTCAATTCCGTGCTTACATTTAGCGCACTGTCACAAGCCAACAAGAAGTCTTGAATAACCTTTTCTTTAATACTGGTATACAATTATACTCAACACTTTCAAGGTTTGGTGACAATGAACAGTTTATTAAAAGAAACCTTATAGGTTTTCAATACTTTATTTCTAATTATTTTTTAAAACTGATTGGTGAAATTACTAAATCCCGTAAAAATAAAATATTAACTAAATTAATTTGTACACATTCTGAGTACGAAGGAGAATTAAAAATGAAATAATAGTTTTTCGTTACAACTCCATGTAGCCGGACTCAAACATGACATCTCTTTAAAAAACAACACATGCAAAACCACATAATTATGTGTACACATTAATTAAACAACATTCAGGCTACTTCCGGTACCACTACATATGGAAAACTGGATTTTTTTACAGTACGGTCATCGCTTCACTTGGTACCTTGGGGTGGGGGGCTAAAATATCGTTTGCCAGAGGCATCGAAAAGCTAATAAAATTCCAAGCTATATTCACCAAAAATTATACTGTATACAATATCTATAATAGTAGGCTACTAAGTCCAAAAATACATGTCAGTCATACCAAGTTGGTAGTCATCAATGGCACATTAATTACACTTACACCACACACTTTATTGTTTAATTGATCCCACAATATTACATCCGTCTTACTTTACTTTCAGAAAATTGTGCGGTTGGGGGAGGGGGGCAGGGGCGTTGTATATGTAGTGCCGACTTGGGTGGGCTGAAAATCCCCCCCCCCATATAAAGAAAACATGTGACGCCCCCTTTCCCCTCTACCCTTCTGTTGTCAGTGGACAGTGCCCCAAATTAGACAATGGTGCTCAAGGACAGCTCNCGCTCTGAAAGTTCAACTGCTTACATCTTACATCCCTGTTCATGTTCAACCATCTCCAGAATAGAACCTTTTTTTTCTTTCTTTTGTCTTCGTTTACTGATACCGGTACCGGTACTATTAAACATTTGAGAATAATTATTATCATTAGTTATTGCTTTGAAAAACATGATACTCTTAGTATTAGAGGCGTGCCGAGAACATATCGCGCCCACTGCAAAGATTTAAAACTGCGCATCTATCAAGCTTGAGAAATTTATTTTTCATATTTAAATCAATTTTATAAATTATAACAAACATTAAAATTATTAATTCCTTAGAGATCAGATAACATTTTTATTTTAAATTTTAGAAATTCTTTGTCCGTCTCGCCGATTTTGCGCCCCCTTCCACTTATATTTGTTCGTTTCTTGCTACACACTACACCTTCAGTGCATTATAGGAATACCGTGCGATCATCTAGTCTTTTCTTTTAACGTAAACAAGAAAGCTTTTTGAGGTACCATCATAGTAAAGACACATTCTGTTTTTAGTTCCATAATGAAAGTAAATCCACACATTCCCTAGGGTAAATTGACCTACGATAAGTTCACGCTTGATACCAGCACCAATCTTTGCGATTTTCAATGGATATTATTTATAGTCACAACTCGTTTTACAACTCGATTTTGGCGGACATCCCAGTGCTGCCATCTGGCGCATGATTGTTCTCAGTAGCCTCCCCTAGTTGGGAGCTTGGCTGAATTTCGTTTTCAGCTGTTTGCGTACAAATTTCATCATCCACTCTAGATGGTGACACAGGTTCGCCTGGATTTTCTGCCAGATCATCGTCACTGTTTGGAAACACCAGATCACGTGCGGGCGAGGGTTGTGGGGAATTGTTCTGACATCGGCAGACGGTGGGTAAACTGACCAATGTAAAACTTGCGTTATGTGGACTGGTGAAGTTGTAGACCAGGACGGAGAAGGTCTGATTGATCTTTTTGCACGTACAAGGACAAGCCCGACAATTTGGGACACTCCTGTCGAGGTAATTAATTCATATTATCATTAAAAGTGTTACAAAACCAATAAAACACATGGCTAAGAAATGCGAACACATGGAAGGTGTCGGAATAATAAATAAAAATACCAGGCTAGTAATTTATGATCAGTCTAAAACAGGGGGTCGACAATCTACACATTTTTTCTCTCTTTTTAAATTTTTTTTTAAAATAACTCGTCTAATACTTTTAGTGAATTGGTGGAACCAATGAAGGTCGACACGCTCTTGGTGGAACCAATGAAGGTCGGCACGCTCTAGGTGGAACCAATGAAGGTCGGCACGCTCTTGGTGGAACCAATGAAGGTCGGCACGCTCTTGGTGGAACCAATGAAGGTCGGCACGCTCTTGGTGGAACCAATGAAGGTCGGCACGCTCTTGGTGGAACTGATGAAGGTCGGCACGCTCAAGACATTTGATAATCCGATCTATTTAAGGCACATCTCTCTACCTGTACTGTATTCGATCCTTCGTACCGTTTTTATTGTTCCCCAAAATGGACGGCTCCCTATTTCAAGAGTCACCACTACTTCCGGAGTTGACGGGCATCGGTG